ACAGGATGCCCAGCAGAGTGGTTTGAGTCACCATCACTGGAGGTATTTAAAGGAGGTGTAGATATGGCACTTATGCACACAGTTTAGTGGTGGACTTGGCAGCTTAAGGTTAATGGCTGGACTCAATCTTAAGAGTCTTTCCAACCTTAGGGATTCTGTGATTACATGATTCTGTATTTACTTTTCCTTAGTCCAGTTTGAACCCTGTTTATCCCTATGTAAATTCAGTGACTCTCCAGAAGCATCTGAAGTCCATCCTGATACTGCCCCTCAATAAAAGAGCAAGTTTACCACAACTTTTTTTGGATGACAAAAATAAGTAAATGAACACTGTTCTGCTTGCTGGACTTAAAAATCCTGTGATGGGCAGTGTCCATTTTAGTTGATCACAGATCACTTCCACTTCTTGTGAGCTGTTGTGAAAAAGATTGTCTTCTCTCACAGGGAGGGCTGTGGGACTGGGCATAGACCATGGCTATGAGGAATGTTTCCTGCCCACACAGTCCAGTGCAGCCTTCTGCAAGACAAAAAAAGGTTCCTGCAACAGAGAGCAGCTGCTTGGGCTCTGGGGAATATTTTTCCAGTAGGATAGGTGAGGTCAAGACAAGAACAAGAAAGCCTGAAGGGCATCTGAGGCAGACACAGAGGAGTTTGCTGAAATAAGACAGCCAGGGGGCTGGGGTGTCACAGGAAGATCACCCTTGGCACACAGAGGGGGGTGCACAGCAATTCTGCAACCTAAAAGCTGAACACTACTGCTCTGGGAATCAGTCTGAAAGAAAGACTGCTCCATCAAGACAAAAAAAAGGGCATGGGGCAGTTTTGTTCATAAACATCTTATTTGCATTTCAATTTACTCTAAGCTTTTCCAGTACCAAAAAGAGTTCAGAGTTATGATGCAGTGTGTCTACAATGAGCAGTCCTGCTAAACCCTGTATTTTGACATTCAAAACCCTTTCCACTCTGTGAGTGCTTACTTCCAGGAAATGGTTCAAAGAATCCACTGATCCCTCTCCAAGCTCAGGAACCTATAAAGAACTGTCTTGTCAAAATTGCGATTAAAGTAAGGAGTTTGAAAGAAGACATGTCACAGGAAATGGGACTGAATTACTAACCCTTGGGTACCCACAGCCTCTGCAGTGTACAGGACCTTGCTGCAGAGAACATACCTAAGGGAACATTCAGGCTGATCCAAGATAAGGACTATTCAAGATACTTTGATGTTGCTTGGGTAGTTTTTTGAAAGTTTGGGAATTAAAATAAAAAACTAGTTTGAAAAAACAGTAAAATCACCAAAAGACAACTATAACAGACACAGAGAATTAAGTCATCTGCTAATAAATTCAGGGTAAAGTTATGACTGTTGAAACCACAAATTGCTTTCACATTCCTCTGTAATTGGAAACATTTTAAGCTTTATCATTTTAGCCTTTTAGGCAGTTACTTATCAGGGCTTTGGGAGCCACACAATGAATTGGAAGTATTTGAACCTATATCTTGCATCTCCCAGGAGTGTGCCCATAACCATTATTCTGAGGTGGTTTTCTCTTGTTTCCTGCTGTTACTTTGCCAGCCTGTGTAAAATGCTAAAAAAGCCATTGAGAAGGAAAGAAATAACCAGGTGGTGACAACAATTTTATGAGTCTAAAGGATGTGACACGGGTCAGTAAGGATAGATCTAGAAGCCTGTGGAAAGATAAGGTACTCACCCGAAAGTTGAGAACTTTGGATTCTGATTCCTTGTGAAATAAAGTAACTAAATCACAAAAACAAAACAAAACAAAACAAAACAAAAAAAACCAAAACACACACACACACACAAAAACCCCAAAGCCAAACAAACAAAAATAAAAGAGAACATCAACACTCAACACTTCCTTTTTCAAAGGGCTTCAAGTTTTGCATTTCTCATATTAAATTAAAAAAAATGAAAAACAAAACTGCATATTTCTAGTAGAGGCAATAGCATCATGGACAGCACTGTTCAGCCTGAAGAAGAGACTGAGGGGTAGCTTTGTTAGGGCTCATCTGCCCTAAGGAGGGCAGCAAGGGCAAGTTCTGATCTCCCCTCTCTGGTGACCAGCAAAGCACACAAGGAGAGGCATTGAAGGTGCATCAGCGGATGTACCTTCACTGAGAGAGAATCTGGTCACTGGAATGGCCTCCCAGGGAAGAGGTCACGGCACCAAGCCTGTCAGAGCTCAGGGAGTGTCTGGATGATGCTCTTTGTCACATGGTTTAGTTTTAGGTAATTCTGTGAGGAACAGTGTTGTACTTGATGATCCTAATGGTTCCCTCCTAACTCAACATATTCTGTGAATCTATGATGCTATCTATGATCTACAGTTTCTTTGAAGTTTTTTATAATCCAATAGTTCACTTCTTCATGCTACTCAATTATATCTATTAATTACATTCAACTTATTAATAAGAAGAGTTAAATTATTTCCAGGCCCATCTAGGAAGTGGGTCATTTGTCTCAGCAAATGAACCATTAGATTAGATAGAAGGATCAATGTTTCACAATATTGATACAAAACCAAGATTAAATCTTTTGGACAAAATTATTCTGCTTTTAGAAGTTCCTACTAAGCAGAAAGTCTCTGTAGAGATGGGAGGGCTGAGAAATGACTGATTATGATCTGGAATTAAAGGATATTACAGACAACACTATATTATCAGACTATCTTTCCACATGAAGATTTCCACAGAACAGAATGTAAAAACAGATGAGTAACTCCCAACAATACATTAGAAATTGTGATCTAAGTAAATTTTTTTGAAATTCTGTACCTGTTAATGATAGACAAGGAGAGACAGAAGGAGATGCAAGGAATGAGGAAGGCCAAATGGTTATTGCAAAGTAGAAAGAGCTTTATATAATACCGACTCAGAAGAAAATAGGGCAATGTTATTTTTTCAGAGATCCTACAGAACATCTAATTTTGTTACTTTCATTTAATTTCTTAGGGAGGGAAGAAAAAAAGCACATTGAAATGTTAGAAATAAAAAGAAAACCTAACTTAAAAATATTATCATAGATTGTCCCTTGTCAGCACGCAATAATCTTATTTCCATGAACAAGATGCTAGGCAGAAACAATTACATAATATATCTAGGTTTTAGTAAAAATTCCAAGAGTACAGTGAAGACAGACACAGACAGCAGTTTCTGCTTCAATCAAAATTAGTGGTAAGAGAACTGGCTTGAGGCTATCTGGCCATGGAAATGGTAGAAAAAGTGTTCTCTATCTCATGTGGTCCAGTGAGCAGAATATCTTCTAGAGAGACTGGAAACAAGTGGTGAATTGCCAACTGGAAACACTGGTCTAGCAAACACATTTGATGACATTACAGTGTGATTCATCAATTAAACTTATGCCTCATCTTTTAAGTTATATTCTTGTGGACTGAAGAGTCTATAACACACAGACTACCAGGAGGACCAGATACTTCCTTCTATTAGTCCACACACAAAAAAATTTAACCGAATCTATTTGAACTGCATGTGTGTAGTTTCTTCCTGTCTTAGGACAACATTCTTCAATTACCATGAAGGATGAAAGGGCTTTTAATATGAGAAGTTGTCAGCTGGATGAAGCTTAGAAGACACCTCTTTATCAAAACCCGACCTTTAAAGAAAATTTCAAGTATGGTTACAAATCTCAAGAGAGAGTTTCATAAAGGAATTGTCTTATCCCAAAGTACTATGACTGCAGCTGTCTGCAGTTCTGAAATACAAACTAGTGAAACTTGACTCTTTTCAATGCAAATGCCTGAACACAGCTCATATTTGTTGGGTTATACACTACTTTTGCATTGACATGCTCTGGATGAGAATTAGAAATATTTCAACTGATTATGGTGCTCATGCTTTTACTTTTTCAGAAATATACCAGGAACATTGACCAGTGTTTACAAGAGCCTCTGCACAGATCTGAAGAAAAATCACCTGAATATTTCACTATTTTAGCTTGCCTCTTTTATTTTAACCTGTCACTGTATTGTATAAAAATTCAAATCTCACGTGATAAATTTTGCTTTAAAATATTTCTATTACCTTCAATAACAGTGATAACAATTTGTTTTTCCAGTAGCAGATATCCATCAGGTACTTTGTTTAGATAGATACATACATCAAATAACTGTTATATTAAAGAACTAAGCCATCTGTTAGTGGCTGACAACACAACAGAACCATAATCACATAATAAAAAATCCTGCAAAAAATGACAGATTTGAATCTGCAATGCAAGCACAAGGTATAAATAAAAATGCAGCAGAATAAAACAGAGCCACAAGTTCACTAAAATCACAGTCCTTGTCTGAACAGAATAACAGCAAAACCTTGGCTCTAAATGTAGGTCTGTCCCTAAACATCAGCTGGTGGGGGGCTGGAGATCCCCATCCAGCCTCTGGAAAGGTATATGACACAAAGTGGAGCATTGCTCTCCCTTAGTGATTCCCAGGCTCCAGTACACACCAGATAACTTTCTGGTTTTGAAGGACATAATTTTCCATTGATTAAAATTAATCAGAAAAATGTTTACAACATCATTTCATAGCATTATGTATTTTTGACTCTAAATATTTTTTCCCCCAAAAATGCTGAACAATCTCAAAACGATCAAATACTTTTCATGGAAGGTAAAAAGAGAACAGTGTGACACACTGAAAATGCAGTCTTATAAATAACAATGATTCAAACGGTGCCAAAGGAATATTTCCAAGTGAGCAGCCTTCCCTTTCAGCAATATTTCCATGATGGATAAAGCTTTTCAGGAAAAAAACTGTAATTAACCAGCTTTACTTCTTAGTAAGGCAATAAAAGAGGTTTCACAAAGATGGCCAAGAAAGCACAGACAAATTCACTAAAAGGCAGGGAATTCCTCGCACATTAAAATGTGTGCATTAGCATTCATGCAGGGGCTCTCATCTGAGGCTTTGAAGAAGAACCTTTCAACAACTTAAGTACAGGGCATATATTCTTTTACAATACAGATGCTGGAGTTCGCCTACAGTAAGCAGGGCCGGGTGGGAAGTGCGCGGGGAAGCCGCGGGTGGAGCAGGGAAGGTTTGTGTGGAGCAGGGAGTACTCTGTGAGTCCGTGTTTCCGCGGGGGCTGCCCTGTCAGGCCCGGTGACCGCAGAGCTCTTTTCCAGCTCTAATTCTGTGACTCTTTAATCACAGAATTATAAACCCAGCATGGTTTGGGCAGGGGCACCTTTCTCTGTCCCAGGTTGCTCTAAACTGCGTCCAGCCTGGCGTTGGACACTTCTAGGGATGCAGAGGCAGCCACAGCTTCTCTGGGCCCCCGTGCCAGGGCCTGGCAGGGAAGAATTCCTTCCCGTTATCCCATTATCCCATCAGCGCTGCCCTCGGGCACTCTGACCAGTACCCGCAGAGGTTTCAGTGCCAGCCAGACGAGAGCAGGATGGGGCTGGGGAGTGTTTCATGAAACCCAGAGCCCATTTCCCCCAGGATACGTCACCACCATCCTGGAGGACACCAAGATCTACTGGAGCCATGCCAAGAGGTCGAGCGTGGACGCGGAGAACATGCAGCTGGTGATCCAGTGCCTCACTGACCAGTCCTTCATATCGCCCACGCCCTGCGACGTGAGTGCTGCCACCGCGGCATGGGGACACGGGGATGGCACAGGACACAGGGGTGGCACAGGAACATGGGGCTGGGCAGGGACTCGGGGATGAGGCCAGGACACAGGCATGTGGCTGGGACATGGGGATGTGACCAGGACATGGGGATGAGGCTGGGACACCTGGATGTCACCGGGACATGGGGATGTCACCAGGACACAGGAGTGAGGCAGGGACACAGGGATCTGACCAGACACAGGAATGTCAGTGGGGCACAGGGATGTCACCAGGACACGGGGATGTGCCCAGACCCGGGGCTGTGGCCGTGTCTCTGCAGTTCCTGCTGGACATTGCTCACCAGAAGAACCGGATGCTGCTGCCACTGATCAAGCCATACTCAGGCCCGCCTGACTGCCCCCAACTACCGCCTGAAATCCCTGCAGAAGAGGGTGAGGATGGCTCAGGGACCGGGGATGCACCCCCGGGGGTTGGGAGGGGTTTTAAATTGCAGTTTTCCACAGCTCTGAAAAGTGGGGATGAATATTGGCCTGTGCGTGTCAGCTCGGAGGTCTCCAGGCTGGATTTGCAATTTGTTGTTGGTTGATTTTAAATGGAAATTTTGAAATGCGGGAAATTTTAAGATATGGGAAAATTTAAGGTATGGGAGTATTGTAGTGTTAAAGAAATACTGCAGAATCCCAGGATCACTGAGGCTGGAAAAGCCCTCCAGGATCATCAAATCCAGTCTGTGCTAGGGCACTGAGTTCCACATCCAGTCATTCCCTGGACGCCTCCAGGGATGAGGACTTGTTATGGTTTAGGCCCGGCAAAGCCAGGGCCCCCATAAATATACCTTTTACCTGATATCTGCTGTGAGATGTGGCCAGGAAATAAGCAAAGCAGGCTCCAACTTAAACATAAAGAGAAGTTTATTAACTAAACTACACACACAATTACTAAACTACACACACACAGGGGAAAAAAACAAGGAGAATGAGAACTACACAGAAACACTTCCTTATCCTCCTCCCACCAAATTCCCAAACACATTTACATTTCCCAAAAATTATCCACACTCGGTCTGGCACCACCCTTTGGAAAAAATCAAATCTTCAGCTCATAAGGGATAGACGGAGTCCTTCCTTGTGCCACGGACTTCTTGTCACAATCAGCAATCCGCCCGGTATCTTGCTATCTCGTGACATCTCCTTTCCATGCCGAGGTGCTCTCACCACCTGGCATGGGATGGGGCAGGGGCCTGCCTTCAGGGCCTTTTAAGAATGCCTCGTCTCGTTCCAAGCAGAGTACAGTCACAATCCTGGGACCTCTGTCCCCCCCCCCATGTCTTCTATACCCCCTGGGGCCGAGGGGTCTCAAAACCAAACTCTCTTGACGCCGAGCCTCCGCTTCCCCCTGCAATACAGCCTCTGCATCACCAGGAAACAGTCCATGGAAATACAACAAAAAAGAGTCCAGCAAAAACTGCCACTCCATCTTCCTCCATTCCGTCAACATCTCTCTTCTCCCTTTGCCAGACCCTCCTTACTGGCCTGATTTTCTTCCTTCATCTTCCACTCCTGTCCCTTTCCCAGGAAAGGCAATGTTCTGCGAAGCCTTCATTCCCCAAAGGGTTAAAAGTTCTCCCAGGCGGCCGGACTGCCCGCTGCCCCCCCCTTTCTCCTCCCAGCCGTGCTGCCTGCCGGCACATGATATCAAGTTTCAAGATATACAGTTCGAGCACGGGCTGCATTCTCTGGGGGGGGAATAAACAGGTCGCTCAAGGGTCTGCCACCCTTCCTCCGAACCCGGGCCTACCGTAGATGGGCCACGTGGCTTTCCCCTCCCCCAGCCCAGCCAGAAACTGGGCCGGGGGAGAGACTTCTTCACGCCGGAAATCCCAAGAGGACTCCGAAGGCCAAGAGCCCTGCTTTTAACCCCTTGGGTTCGTAGTCTCAAGAGGCGGATCCAAATGTCCCACTGGTCAAACTAGGTGCCCATCTTAAATTCCAATTACCCATTGGTAACCACAGCAAAACAACATATCCCAGATGTCCCATTTCCGGTCAAACCACGACAGGACTCCACCACCTCCCTGGGCAGCCCCTTCCAGTGCCTGCCCATCCTTTCCCTGAAGAAATTCCTCCTCATGTCCAAGAGGAACTGACAGGTTTAATGTCAGGTTGTCAGAGGCGCAAGTCAGACTTTGCTGTAGATATTAAAGAGTATTTTTGACTTCCACCTCAGTTGTTTTCTACTTCAGGGGGAAAATATTTCCTTTTCTGGGAAGCCCTGAATGCCTCACTGTGGGGGCACTTACCTTTTATTTCCAGGCCATTCCCTGATTCTCTGGTTCTCTCCCCACAAGTCTCCTCCACAGCAGGCAGGATCACAGTCCATTGCCTGAGAGTGGGTGCCATGAGCAGCAGGCCCAGCACTCCCACTTTGAGTAGAAAACAGCTCCACAGGGGATTTCCACCTTCCTTTTAGGAAGGAAATATAAAGAGGAATAATTTAAAACATTTTCCAGTCCCTGAGGGACTGTCAGGGACTGCCTAACCTTATATTGTTTGGCAGCATCAGAAAGTTAATTTCATAAATTTATCTTTATTATTACAATAACATTTAAATGTAAATGCATTACAGATATTCTGTATTTGTGATAAATTCTTTATTTAAGGGACTATTCAAGAACTTCACTAAAATTTATGGTTATTTTCCTCAGTGTCAGTGTGATGCTGAAGTAAATAGCACTGGGAAATATCCATTTTTAAAAGGATCTTAAAATTTACAGCTATGCCCTAAAAATCAGTGTATGTTTATAGTCTGGAGTTCTGTAGGGCTGGGGTAAATGTAGGAAAATGAGCAAATGTGCAGCTCTGCCTGGAAATCTGATCCTTCTACCTGGTGTCCTTGTGTTCCTGTGCATTCCCACTATGCCTAATAACAGATTCCACTTGGGAGGGAGTTGTAGGAGTGTTTATGGATTTATTCTGATTCCTTTTGGCGGGGTTTGTGTGGAACCCAGGTACCCTTCAGCGCAGGCTGTGTCGGTGTCAGCCAAGGTGGGAGCGCCGGCATCACTGGCAGGGCAGCGCTTCACTTTCCAGATCCCGTCCTCACAGCCCGCTGGGAAATCAGGTACTCCTGGGGTTCCTGGGGCTGGAACAGGGATAACCACACAGCCACAGCCTGCTTGGGCTGCGAGGGAGAAGCTCATCCAGTCCCAGCCCCTGCCATGGACAGAGACACCTTCCATGCTGGCCTGGAACACTTCACAGCTCCTTGGGGAGCTCCTTGGGGAGAGATGGGGAAATTTCTCCCCCTCTTACTCATTCCAAAAAGTTCCAGTGTTAATTTCCATTCCCAGCACAGCAGTGGCAGCCAGAACATGGCCATCCTGGGCAGCTGCCTCCCACCCTGGCTCCTGTTTCCTTCTCCCCCTTGTGTTCTCACCACTGCCTGCAACATTTCCCCATCTTCCCTCTTGGGATGAGCCTGGAATAACACAGGGATTGCTCCAAGCTTTCAGTGTTGCCTTTCCATGATTCCCACAGCCACTCCCACTATGCAGAAGGTCCTGATCAACCCATCCCTGATTGGCCCCAAGAACATCCTGATCACCATCAACACGGTCTCGCCCAGCACCGCCGACCCCAACCCACTCAAGAGGAAACACGAGGACGATGACGACTACAACGCCTTGTGAGCCCTTCCATGGCATCCAGGGAGCCTTTCCATGGGATTCATGGAGCTTTTCCTGTGGGATTCAGGAAGCCCTTCCTATGGGATTCACACAGACTCTAGGGGGTGGGAATGGGCCGGAAGGCCCCATTTGGGCCTTGGGAGTGTGGAAGTAAAGTGCAGAGTGTTTGTAACCTGGTCTTGGTGTCTTGTGCACCTGGGGGAGGGGGCAGGCGTTTTCCTATGTATTTATTTTCTATTTTTAAATGTATTTTTATATAAATTAATGTATAATTTATATCTACACATATATAACTATGTTTTTATATATGTTTCATATATATGTGTTATATATTTATCATATACACACACATGTAATTGCCTTGTACACTAAAACTCTCCCACTCGCTTTTTAATATATATACATTTGTCTATGCACATAGATATTTATATATTAATGTACATATGTGTGTGCACACATACATAAAATACATAGAATATAGTGTATAGAGAGAATACACAGTAGGTAATTATGCATACACAGAAACACTTCATATATAAATTGTATTTTATGTATTAGGTACACATTCTAAAATAAACAATGACATAATCCTATGCTATATAATGTAAAATAGATAATGAAATATTTTATATAATATATATTTTATAATATATATTATTATATAACATACAATATTATATACTATTATGTATTATTACATAATATTATGGGGACAATCTTATATTAGGGCCTAAGCCCTCAGAACTTCCAAGTTCATTTAAATCACTTGGAAATATTTTACAGCTCTCCAGGCCTTCGTAGACTTGGAAAGCAGGGAGAGTGAGGGGGATTTTGGGAAGGAATTCTTCCCTGTGAGTAGTAAAGCCCCAGCAGAGAATGTCCAGAGAAGCTGGGTCTGTCCCATTCCTGGAAGTGTCCAAGGCCAGCTTGGACAGAGCTTGGAGGACCCTGGGATGGTAGAAATGGATGATCCTTAAGTCTTCTTCCATCCCAACCATCCTGGCAGTTCCTAAATTGGCAAAGCCCTCATCCAACAGGTAAATAAAGAGGATTGTCAGGTCAAGGAAGCTGCCCAAATCCTGCATCCCTGTGCACGTCCCAGGGAAGGGCTGGGCCACCCACGCTGGCAGAAGAGGAAAAATAAATTTAACAAATTTTACATTTATCACCTTCTCTTCCTGCTGAGACTCACAACTTAGGGCTGAGGGCAAGGAAAAGCAGCAGGAAGTTGTTTGGGGTGTCTGGACCAAAAGACCGGAGCAGATCCCAGTGACTGCAACTCCTGGACTGGTTTCAAAACCAAATTTAAGTGCAAAGAGCCCAGGAGAGGCTGGGGGGTGTTGTGCACAATAATCCCAATACCAAGTCAGGTTTCTTTAGTAACTCTTTTATTGAAATCACAAACCAGATTTAAAATTCCCACATTAGGCACATAGGTCAAGTTTCTATGTTCATTGAATAAACATGGTCCAGAAGCCAAAGGGGCCAGAAAGCCTGAGCAGTTCAGAGCTGCTGGTTTAAGACTTCAGCCAGGGCCTTCTCACTCCGTGGCTCCCCCAGGTCAGCTGGAAAAGTTCCTTCAGGCTCCATGGGAAGAGGCAGGAGCAGAGCTCCAGTGCAGAGACAAAGCTCTCTCATGATTACAGGTGAAACTGCACCCACCTTTCACAGCTCAGCAGGAGGGAGGGAGCTGGGTTAGGGTTAGGGTTAGGGTTAGGGTTAGGGTTAGGGTTAGGGTTAGGGTTAGGGTTAGGGTTAGGGTTAGGGTTAGGGTTGGGTTAGGGTTAGGGTTAGGGTTAGGGTTAGGGTTAGGGTTAGGGTTAGGGTTAGGGTTAGGGTTAGGGTTAGGGTTAGGGTTAGGGTTAGGGTTAGGGTTAGGGTTAGGGTTAGGGTTAGGGTTAGGGTTAGGGTTAGGGTTAGGGTTAGGGTTAGGGTTAGGGTTAGGGTTAGGGTTAGGGTTAGGGTTAGGGTTAGGGTTAGGGTTAGGGTTAGGGTTAGGGTTAGGGTTAGGGTTAGGGTTAGGGTTAGGGTTAGGGTTAGGGTTAGGGTTAGGGTTAGGGTTAGGGTTAGGGTTAGGGTTAGGGTTAGGGTTAGGGTTAGGGTTAGGGTTAGGGTTAGGGTTAGGGTTAGGGTTAGGGTTAGGGTTAGGGTTAGGGTTAGGGTTAGGGTTAGGGTTAGGGTTAGGGTTAGGGTTAGGGTTAGGGTTAGGGTTAGGGTTAGGGTTAGGGTTAGGGTTAGGGTTAGGGTTAGGGTTAGGGTTAGGGTTAGGGTTAGGGTTAGGGTTAGGGTTAGGGTTAGGGTTAGGGTTAGGGTTAGGGTTAGGGTTAGGGTTAGGGTTAGGGTTAGGGTTAGGGTTAGGGTTAGGGTTAGGGTTAGGGTTAGGGTTAGGGTTAGGGTTAGGGTTAGGGTTAGGGTTAGGGTTAGGGTTAGGGTTAGGGTTAGGGTTAGGGTTAGGGTTAGGGTTAGGGTTAGGGTTAGGGTTAGGGTTAGGGTTAGGGTTAGGGTTAGGGTTAGGGTTAGGGTTAGGGTTAGGGTTAGGGTTAGGGTTAGGGTTAGGGTTAGGGTTAGGGTTAGGGTTAGGGTTAGGGTTAGGGTTAGGGTTAGGGTTAGGGTTAGGGTTAGGGTTAGGGTTAGGGTTAGGGTTAGGGTTAGGGTTAGGGTTAGGGTTAGGGTTAGGGTTAGGGTTAGGGTTAGGGTTAGGGTTAGGGTTAGGGTTAGGGTTAGGGTTAGGGTTAGGGTTAGGGTTAGGGTTAGGGTTAGGGTTAGGGTTAGGGTTAGGGTTAGGGTTAGGGTTAGGGTTAGGGTTAGGGTTAGGGTTAGGGTTAGGGTTAGGGTTAGGGTTAGGGTTAGGGTTAGGGTTAGGGTTAGGGTTAGGGTTAGGGTTAGGGTTAGGGTTAGGGTTAGGGTTAGGGTTAGGGTTAGGGTTAGGGTTAGGGTTAGGGTTAGGGTTAGGGTTAGGGTTAGGGTTAGGGTTAGGGTTAGGGTTAGGGTTAGGGTTAGGGTTAGGGTTAGGGTTAGGGTTAGGGTTAGGGTTAGGGTTAGGGTTAGGGTTAGGGTTAGGGTTAGGGTTAGGGTTAGGGTTAGGGTTAGGGTTAGGGTTAGGGTTAGGGTTAGGGTTAGGGTTAGGGTTAGGGTTAGGGTTAGGGTTAGGGTTAGGGTTAGGGTTAGGGTTAGGGTTAGGGTTAGGGTTAGGGTTAGGGTTAGGGTTAGGGTTAGGGTTAGGGTTAGGGTTAGGGTTAGGGTTAGGGTTAGGGTTAGGGTTAGGGTTAGGGTTAGGGTTAGGGTTAGGGTTAGGGTTAGGGTTAGGGTTAGGGTTAGGGTTAGGGTTAGGGTTAGGGTTAGGGTTAGGGTTAGGGTTAGGGTTAGGGTTAGGGTTAGGGTTAGGGTTAGGGTTAGGGTTAGGGTTAGGGTTAGGGTTAGGGTTAGGGTTAGGGTTAGGGTTAGGGTTAGGGTTAGGGTTAGGGTTAGGGTTAGGGTTAGGGTTAGGGTTAGGGTTAGGGTTAGGGTTAGGGTTAGGGTTAGGGTTAGGGTTAGGGTTAGGGTTAGGGTTAGGGTTAGGGTTAGGGTTAGGGTTAGGGTTAGGGTTAGGGTTAGGGTTAGGGTTAGGGTTAGGGTTAGGGTTAGGGTTAGGGTTAGGGTTAGGGTTAGGGTTAGGGTTAGGGTTAGGGTTAGGGTTAGGGTTAGGGTTAGGGTTAGGGTTAGGGTTAGGGTTAGGGTTAGGGTTAGGGTTAGGGTTAGGGTTAGGGTTAGGGTTAGGGTTAGGGTTAGGGTTAGGGTTAGGGTTAGGGTTAGGGTTAGGGTTAGGGTTAGGGTTAGGGTTAGGGTTAGGGTTAGGGTTAGGGTTAGGGTTAGGGTTAGGGTTAGGGTTAGGGTTAGGGTTAGGGTTAGGGTTAGGGTTAGGGTTAGGGTTAGGGTTAGGGTTAGGGTTAGGGTTAGGGTTAGGGTTAGGGTTAGGGTTAGGGTTAGGGTTAGGGTTAGGGTTAGGGTTAGGGTTAGGGTTAGGGTTAGGGTTAGGGTTAGGGTTAGGGTTAGGGTTAGGGTTAGGGTTAGGGTTAGGGTTAGGGTTAGGGTTAGGGTTAGGGTTAGGGTTAGGGTTAGGGTTAGGGTTAGGGTTAGGGTTAGGGTTAGGGTTAGGGTTAGGGTTAGGGTTAGGGTTAGGGTTAGGGTTAGGGTTAGGGTTAGGGTTAGGGTTAGGGTTAGGGTTAGGGTTAGGGTTAGGGTTAGGGTTAGGGTTAGGGTTAGGGTTAGGGTTAGGGTTAGGGTTAGGGTTAGGGTTAGGGTTAGGGTTAGGGTTAGGGTTAGGGTTAGGGTTAGGGTTAGGGTTAGGGTTAGGGTTAGGGTTAGGGTTAGGGTTAGGGTTAGGGTTAGGGTTAGGGTTAGGGTTAGGGTTAGGGTTAGGGTTAGGGTTAGGGTTAGGGTTAGGGTTAGGGTTAGGGTTAGGGTTAGGGTTAGGGTTAGGGTTAGGGTTAGGGTTAGGGTTAGGGTTAGGGTTAGGGTTAGGGTTAGGGTTAGGGTTAGGGTTAGGGTTAGGGTTAGGGTTAGGGTTAGGGTTAGGGTTAGGGTTAGGGTTAGGGTTAGGGTTAGGGTTAGGGTTAGGGTTAGGGTTAGGGTTAGGGTTAGGGTTAGGGTTAGGGTTAGGGTTAGGGTTAGGGTTAGGGTTAGGGTTAGGGTTAGGGTTAGGGTTAGGGTTAGGGTTAGGGTTAGGGTTAGGGTTAGGGTTAGGGTTAGGGTTAGGGTTAGGGTTAGGGTTAGGGTTAGGGTTAGGGTTAGGGTTAGGGTTAGGGTTAGGGTTAGGGTTAGGGTTAGGGTTAGGGTTAGGGTTAGGGTTAGGGTTAGGGTTAGGGTTAGGGTTAGGGTTAGGGTTAGGGTTAGGGTTAGGGTTAGGGTTAGGGTTAGGGTTAGGGTTAGGGTTAGGGTTAGGGTTAGGGTTAGGGTTAGGGTTAGGGTTAGGGTTAGGGTTAGGGTTAGGGTTAGGGTTAGGGTTAGGGTTAGGGTTAGGGTTA